TTTGAGGCCCCTTTCCGAGGAACAGCCTCTCCTAACAACATAAAGTATGAGAGAATTTTGTCATCCTTGTCTCTAAGGAGCACTATGTAGGTAATAGGTGAAACTAGATTAAAGAGGGGGGAAATAGAAAGATCTGACCAACTCAAACACTCAAGCTCACTGGGTGAAGTTAGAACCAACTCATAGTTGACCCTTCAATAGGTGACTAGCAAAAATTAAAAAACAAACAAACAGGAAAAAAAAACCCAACCAAACTGCTAACGTAAGAAAAATATTTAGTGTCTTGCATGCAACAGGGATCTCTGGCAGCCCAGTGGGTAAAGAGTTGCACTGTCAACCCCAAAACAGTTCAAATCAACCAGATGATCTGAAAAACTACTGTTAGGTCAGCTATGAGTTACATCTGACTTAACGGTCACAAGTTTGAATTTGTTAACATGCAGCACCTAAATAGAAAGCTACAATAACAAAAACTGTGTAATACTAAAAGAGATCTTCGGTGGCTTAGTGCTAAGGACTTGTGGTGCTAACCCACAGACATGTAGTTAGAATCCACCAGATGCTCCATGAGAAAAAGGTGGACAATCTTCTCAAGAGCAAGTTAAAGCCTCTGAAAACCGGCTGAAGAGTCAGCTCTGAGTTGGTGTGACTGCGTCATATAACACAACAACAGTAGAGAAAGAGATCTTGTTGTTAGTAGCTACATCTAGTCCAGTATGATTCATTGCAACCCTATGAGCAAAAGATCTGAACCCTGTTTATCCTGTGTCAGTCTCACACTTCCAACACACAAGAGCTGATTACAATTGTCACAGTGTCAATCCACCTGCACAAGAGTCTTATTTTTCCTTAGTTAACCCTCCACCCTTCCCAGAAGCACTCCCTGTCTAAGGAATAGCTCCTCCTAGCAACACGCCCAAAGTATGCAAGATAACATCTCATCATCCTTGCTTCCAAAGAGCACTCTTGCTGCTGCATCCTCTCTGAGACATATCTGTTGGTTCTCTCGGCCATCCATGGGATAGATGTTCAGTGCTCTTCTCCAACACCACAGCTCAAATTCATCAATTCTTTTTCCGTCATTCTTATTTATTGTCCAGCTCTCAGATGCATAGTGAGTGCATCATGATGTGTTAATGATAATCGGTGACCAGAATTCAAAAGTGAGGAACAGTGAAGAAGGAATAGTAGTTGGAAAATATGGGCCTGGTGATAGAAATGAGGCTAGAAATAGAATGACTGCATTTTTAATTTACTATTAATAACTTATTCATTGCAAATACCTTTTATCAAAAGACACAAATGACAACTTTACACATGGATCTCACCTAGCAGGCTGTGTAGGAATCTGATTGAGGACATTTGTGGAAGAAATTATTGGAGAAGCTCAATATCGGCAGTCAAAACTAGGCCGAGAGTAGACTACGGACAATCAGTGACTCATGTACAAGGTCAAATTGAGGCAAAAGTAAATGAAAATCGGTCCCCAGGAACCAAGATACAATTTTGAATCAATTCCAATTAAATTTTAAGATCATCTTAGGAATAAGTTTGAGGCATTAAACACCAATTCTCAAAGATTAGAGGATTTGTGGAATGATATAAAAAATATCATATATGAAGAAAACAAAAGGTTATTACAAAAACAGAGGAGAAAAGAAAAATAAAAATTGATGTCAAAAGACACTGAAAATTGCTCTGGACTGTCGAGAAGCCAAAACTAAAGGAAACCATGCCTAAGTAAAAGAACTGAAGAGAAGATTTCTAAGGGCAGCTCAGGAGTGCAAAGATAAAGGATAAACAGGCATAAAATCATACTTACACTGTCACTCGCACAAACAAATATTTATGTATTTGGAGACATAACACATGACCCATCTGTGTATGTATGAATGTGGATAGTTAAGTAAATATATACATATATGAACATACACATAATTATTCTTTTGTTCTGGTAAATATTTAATAACTACCTCACAAAAAAGGGAAAAAATGTTTTAATTTAAATTTTTTGTCAATGTCTATAATGTGAAAACTCCCTAAGCTAAAAACTTTGTGTCGTCAAAATCAGTTGGTAAGCGAGTTCATAATAACATAATATCATTTAAAAGAATTACTATTAGTAATAACCTCATCATTGTTTAGATTTTAATAAAATTCATTCAGAAAGTGTAATTCCTTTTAGAAAAATACAACTTGTATCTATGAGCTTTTCTATGAAACAGTTTTATTTGAAGGGCAATAGTTTCATTAGAACAAAATAGTTACCAGCCTCTGTAAGACCTCAAATCAGGTTGTGTGATATTTTATATCATATATTTAGAAGTTTAAGTATCAAAAGAAATTTGTTGTTTTTAAGATAATATCAATCAATCAATGGTACCATATATCTGGTGAGTTGAACTGAATGCAAATGTGGGGCCTAGGGTCTATTTCTATTTCCAAAATTACATTGCTTAACTAAATGGCACACATTCAAGGTAAGGCCCCTTCTCTAAGATTTGAATTTCAGGGTTGTCTTTGTTTAGCCCCAAAGCAATTAGATTCAAAGCTAGTAAAAAAATAAGCAGACAAACAAAAAAACAACCAAAATTTAAAATCCTCCATTGTGAAGAACAACCCTCAAATGTAGTTATTGTTATTAATAACATTAATAACACTATTTGATTCTCCTCATATGCTCATTTTTCTCCATTTTTGTAAATGAATGCTAAAAACATAACATCTGATTTTCTGAGACTCCATTATATCAAAACGACACGTTATTTTGCAGAGTTAATGAAAAGCAACAGTCCCAATAGACGAATAGGGAACTCCAACAAATGGAAATGGACAAGCTGGTTTAAGAAAAAATAAGAATTGTCCCAATCTCATTTTTATTCTGGTGAATCTTAATTAGACTTATGGTAAGCTGTATTAGTGTTAATAAGGATTAATGTCATAGCGATACACAGAGCATACAAATCAATAAATGCTGCCGTATCAATATATGAACAGAGACACAAATAGCCATTTTCTCTCTTAAGAGTGAACTTGATATGGAGTTAAATATTTGTTATTTGGATTTGTAATACCTTGGGAAGCTCAGGGAGTTAGTTATACCTGTTCACATTATAGTCTACTGGTATCTAAAGAAAAGAGCTATGAAACTGAACAAATATATGTAAACTTTAGGAGATTTAAAAACTGGCCCACAGGAGTAATTTCATAGCTCTGCCACAGCTTGGAGTCACATCACTGGGTATTTTGGAAGCAGAATGGTGATTAATCAACCAATCCAAAGAGTTTTTGCTAACTGTAACCATGAAACCTCTGAAAGGTTCCATAGTCCCATGATAAGTTTACAATACAGATGAAGAAATGAAAGAAAAACAAAAGAAAATAATATTAATCATCTAACATAAATAATCATAGATTCAAGTAAAAACAACTGGAAAAAAAGATTAATGGCTTACTTAAGAGAGATATTTGCCTTTTCTTCGAAACGGAAGAAGTCTAGTATCATACAGAAATTTTGTTAGTTGGAGGGCGTTGGTGTGTGTTGAGGATGTACTGTTTAAAATGGCTTTTCTAGACAATGAATTTGACTTTGGCTTGCAGATGAGTGGGAATATGCTAATAGGGAGTGTTGATTATTTACAAAAAAATTGGGAATTGGATAGTCTCATCATTAAATTGAATAGATCCAACAGCAGAACCTGAGAGTCTCAGTACCAGCAAAGAAAAAACAAGAGAAGGCACCACATTTTCCATGGTCTGAAATTCTTGTATCAAAACATATCAGGGCTGATGAGAGCAGCAGTCATAGCAGCCAGCAGCAGATGACAAGAGACCTGGCGTGAGAGGAAGCAGACCTTGGGACTACTTTACCGTGGAGCCAGAACTAAAACCCTTTGCTCAAGTTTACTGGAGGACGGGGGGTGGGCTGGTTGTATTTCCAAAATTGACAGGACTGAGGGCCTAAAGCTGGTCTGTGAGCACATTTTGAAAGTTGTCCTGACTGAATCTGTGAGCTATTGCAATAGCTTTTGGACCCAGTTAAACAGTACGATTGGTGTTGGGATGAGTAGTAAAAGGTAAAGGGGTGTGGGGGCATGTCTGGCCTCTTGAGAATATGCTTGCTTTTGTTGATGTTGTTGATGAAGCTAGTTGCCCTTTGTGGAGTCGGTAAAGTTCAGATATGGTCATCCTTTGCATTTTCTACAGTTGATATCAGAAGCCAAGTTTGTTAGAATGGCTCCCAATAGGTGAAATTGTGGAATTTTGAAAGAGTTAAGAGCTTGAAAATGACAACTTTTGCATCAGCTATTGTAGTTGTTATTTTGTGCCAACTATTTGAAACCAAACTATAGCTGGCCTCCCAGGTATTTGCAGAGACGATAATTAGCATGGGAGGAAGATTGCCCATGCTTCTCCCATGGAGAAAATTGGTGTTTTGTGCCTTTATAGCACAGCTTCTTATCACTAGGTCACCAGAGCCTCTGTATAGAAGGGTCCAAATTAATAGTCCCGCAAGAGTCCTGTTTGAGATAGTAAGTGGTAAAAGAGAATAGAAGTATGTGTCTCTTAACTTTAAGGAAGTTCTGGGAAGTCTCATATCACACTTCTACTCATAACCAAGCATAGACATATGCTTAGGTACAGTTAAAAATGATCTAAAACTGGACAATTAAATTTACTAGAGACCTGCCCTTGGATGAAGACGTCATGCTTGGAATAGTGGAGTGACAGCGCAGGAGAGGAAGACCCTAGGTGAGATGAATTAATACAGTAACTGGGGCAATGGGGGTTGGTGTATCGGAATTAGTGAGACTGGCTCAGGACAGGGAAGGGTTCAGAGCTGCTGTACAAAGGGTCACTATAGGTCACAGGTGACATGACAGCACATAACAACAACAATTACTAAAGAACAGGAGGAAAATGACTACTGAGAAACAGCCAGAAATGTCTGCTGAAAATTTATGAAGAGATGAAGTGGAGAGAACTACGCTCCATTTACTGTGTGAGACGTATAGCTGAGCGACCGAAGGCACGAACGAGATGCCGGTGGCCATGGGTCCTTACGGGCAGTCGCAGCCAAGCTGCTTCGACCGCGTGAAGATGGGCTTCGTGATGGGTTGCGCAGTGGGAATGGCGGCCGGGGCGCTCTTTGGCACCTTTTCCTGTCTCAGGATCGGAATGCGGGGTCGAGAGCTGATGGGCGGCATTAGGAAAACCATGATGCAGAGTGGCGGCACTTTTGGCACATTCATGGCCATAGGGATGGGCATCCGATGCTAACCAGTGCAATGGTTGCCCCCTACACCTATTCCTTGTGAGCCCATCCTATGTACTATAATAAAATCGTCTTTGAGTAAAAAAAAAAAAAAAGAGAGATGAAGTGAAATTATTGAATCATATGAATCAAGTATCAAGCTGCTAAAAGAACTCAAGAAACCAGAAAAGTCAATTTCTTGTCCATAGGGAAATTTTGTCCAACGGTATTTTCACTCAGTTATGTTTTATAGTAATTGATTATAAAAATTAAACTTAAAATTTATTCACGTTGTGATAGATTTCATTTTACATGGATTCACAGTTAATTCCCTTGGAAGCAGCAGTCAAAATATTGAAATTTTAATTGATTGGAAAATAGGATCCTACTAGTAAGTTAAAGAGCAGATATCACTTTGAAGAAAAAGGTGTATCTGACTCAACTCATGGTATTTTACAACGCATCATATGGGTGTGAAAGCTAGACAATAAAAAATGGAAGATCAAAAAAAGATGCCTTTGAATTATGGTGTTGGCATAGAAAATAGATTACCAGAAGAGCAAACAAACCTATCTCAGAAGAAATGCAACTGGAGTGCCCCTTAGAAACTTGGATAGCAAGACTTGATCTCAAATTCTTGGGATATCTATTCAGGAAAGGTCGGTCTCTGGAAAACCGCATTATGCTTAGTAAAGAAAGAAAAAAGTCATAGAAACAGGAAGACCTTCAACAAGATGTATTGACGCAGTGAGTGCAATTATGGGCTTAGAAATATCAGCCATCGTGAGCATAACATAGGCCAGGTTAGTATATATATACACACAAAATTTTGTTATATATAGATAGGGTGACTATGAGTTGGAATCAACTCAGTGGCATGAAATAAGAAACACCAATTCTTTTTTATTTCGCAATAAAGAAAAGCAGGCACTTCTATAGAATTCTATATAATGTATAGGCCTTGGAATGGCAATTGAAAAGTTAGAAGTGAGGAGAATAGCTTAAGGAAGTGATGGAAGATAACATTGAAAATGAAAGTGTGGTAGCCATGAAAACATTCTACAGATGTGGGACAGAGGTTGTCTAGTAGGTGTTATCTACATGAATATCACCTGGCTGATTATCAAACTTAACTGGAAAACAGAATTAGTGTCCTTTTCTAGAACCCTAGACTTCTAAAAGTGCATGTACATGAGAAATGACTTATTAGGTCAGCTGGCAATCATTAGACCCAAGGATATTAATTTTTTATTTTTAGATTTCAAAATCACAAATATGCAAGATAAAAGACTACTCAGTTAATTTTAAATGGGGATTGCTATTTATCACATTTAACTTACGATTTGACTATCTTTATGAAATTATAGGGATACTACATATGGGGGGAAAATAATTTTAAAATTTGGAAAACCTTTAGAATATCTCATTCAACTTCTGAAGAGCCTAAAGAGATTTTAGACATTGTGCAATAAAATATACATTTCTGTTCTCTGAAATATATGGTTTGTCAGATAGATCATCTCCTTCAATTCCTTTCTCGCCACATCCCCATTTTTCATCTTTTCCACTAAAGATTGGTTTTATTTGAAAAAAATGAACACATGATTTATCGAAGTATTGTTTTATTGCACATATGTATTCAAAATTCCCGTCTTAAACTTTCTAATGTTATGGGGGTTTTGTAAAGATTGTAAATAGCATCCATGGTAAGCATCTGATATGCTTTGAGTCAGGGAAGAGTCTGGATGACAGATGTTGGTTTCTGTGATAACCGAGATGAGAAGTCTAGTCCTGTCACTAGCTAGTAGGTTGATCTCTGAGTAAACATTTAATCAATCAAGCCTTCAATTTATACTTTATTTAATTCCAGTTGTGATCTAATTATGTTATACCCCTTCAGTTTTTCTATATGTTTATTACTCCACAATGGTTCACCACCAGCTGCTTGAGACAGAAATTTTGTTTCAAAGCATGCCTCAAGCACTGATAGACGTTTGAGTAACCAGTGGTATTTTTCCCCTTTAATAACTTATAGTAAGGCACTACTGAGTAGGAACCAACTCAAAGTTGACCCTCCAGCAGGTTTCCAGAAGCAATAAATCACATGTGAGGATATTGTCCATCTTCTCAAAGCATCTGGTGGACTTAAGCTGCCTCATTAGGGGTTGGCAAAGCAACTCCTTACCACTAAGTCACCAGAGGTATTCTTGAAAGGCCTTGTCTTACTTCTTTGTAAACTGGAGCTTTTCAAGGAGGATTAGGTGTGCCACTCCACACTTAGACTCTAGAGCCAAAACTGAGCTCTCCCCTTCACAAATGTTCATTTCATAACTCATTCTGATAATTTCTTATTTGTTCTCATAACGTATAACTACAATCTTAAAAGTATTCCATGAAAGGAATTGATTCAATTCAAAACCACTTTATCTTCCTATCTACACAATGTAATTTGTCATTTTAAGTGATTTTGCAGAGTGTGCCTTTTTCTTCCTCTAAGTTTAGAAAATGTGGCATGATGATGAGTATAGGAATAGTTCTTTTAATCATGTATAAACTGATAATTACAGCTAACAATAATTATCTAAACAAAAGTATGTGTGTGTATGTGTTTGTGTATATATTTCCTTAATAATGATCAATAATTTATGTATACAGATGAGTCATTTGGATTATTTAAGGAAAGAGATTGAAAATTCTATATAGTGTGGCTTAATATTGTCTTACAAATATATTGGTTTTATAAAATAGAAGATTTGTACAATTTCCACATTTCAAAACAAATGAGGGTTGTCATCACTTTCATATCATCTTGAATTTGGTTCCATTAAAACATAATTGTTTTGTCCTTATGTAATAGCAATACATGGGCAGATAGTAATATTCTCTACTCAAATCAACGGAATAATATATACAAATTAAAGTCAAATCTCTGACTCACTGGGCATATCTTGGTTTTCGTCTGAATTCATTTTAAATGGAAACAATATTTAAGTCTAAATTATTACAATATTATAAGTCTAAACTTATAAACATAATAATTTATAATTAATCAAATTAGTGAAATAATAAAAATCAGTCATCAATACCTTCATGAGCTTTAGTCCTCAAAATTTTAGAAGTCTTTTTCTGAAACTTATAAATTTGTATCTATTTTTAATTTAATGTTGTTTTTGCTTTTTTCTTGTCTTCCTTGTTATTATTTTACCGAAATGTCTTTTTCAAATGCCTGTGCTGTGTTAATAAATAAAATATCGTATTCTCATTTCTGTCCTTCTGGGACTTCTGTATCCTGTTTCTACACATGATTTTACATCTTCTAAAATGCTTTCTGTTCTTTTCCAGCAGAGATGGAGACCCCACAGGATGTACTCGGCATGCTGTCTTATAAAAAAAAAATTCTATTTAGCCCAATGAGTTATAGCAATTCCCCACTGTGTTTTGTTCATATTGCACATAAAATTTCCTAGTTTCTGTCCATTAGTTAAACATATACATGTTTAATGTAGTAAATACAATATTAAAATGTACTTTATTGAGGTAACTGTAGCCTCGTAAATCTGGAAAGTTAGTTGGTTTGTTGTGTACTTGAGTCAGAACCAACCCATAGCTGACCCTTCAGCGGGTTTTCAGAGTCAGTAATCACATGGAAGGTGATTGCCAATCCTTTCTAGAGGAGTAGCTTGTGGATTTGGACAGCTTTCAGGATTGCAGCGCAAATTCTCACCACTAGGCCACCAGAGCTCAGTTTATGTACAGATATAATAAACGACAACGCTTACATGTATTCCCTTTGCATAAATATCCACTCATTAATAGTTGACAATCCCATGTTCTAGAAAGACAAAGAAATGATAGAAGTGCTATTATTCCAGCATAATTAAGTATGCATAATATGAAGGATTTTGCCATAGACTTCCAGAAGAATGAACAAATTTTCCTCAGAAAAAGTATGGATAGAAATGTTTCTTACATGTGAGAGTGGTGAGACTTTATCTCATATACTTCATATGTTATCAGGAGGAAGGATAGCTTCTCCAAGGATGATATAATGCTTGGTCAAGTATTGTTGTATGTTGTTGTTATGTGCCATTTAGTCACTTGCGACTCATAGTGACCCTATGTACAAGAGCCCTAAATCCTGCTCTATCCTGTGCCAACTTCACCAACCCCCATTACTCCAATCACTGAATCATCGATCCATCTCATCAAGGGTCTTCCTCTCCTACGCTGTCCCTCCACTCTCCCAAACATGATGTCCCTCTCCAAGGACCAATTCCTCCTTGCAACATGCCTAAATTGTGTCAGACGAAGCTTCAGAATCCTTGACTCCAAGGAGCAGCCTGGCTTCACCCTCTCTAGGAAAAAACTGTTTGTTCTCCTATCAGTCCATGGTTTTTCAATACTCTTTTCCAGCACCACAGCTCAAAGGCATCAGTTCTCTTTCTATCATCCCTAATTACTGTCCAGCTCTTTGATGAATAGCACACAATTAGGAAGACTATATAGCTCAGATCAGGCACACCTTAGTTTCCAGCCTGACATTGTTGCTCTTCAGTATAGCATTAACAAAAAGGAGGAAGACCCTCAATGAGATGGGTTGTCACAGTGGCTGCAATAGTTAAGTTCCAACAAAGCAATGGCTGTGCAAGTGACACAGCTGAAAATAGAGGGGGTTTGGGGTTTTTGAGTAGGAATCAACTGGAAGGTACCTAAAAACAATATGGAGGGATATTTTTTGTGATAATTATAGGAACCATGAGAATAAGTGATCATAGAATATTAAGTCCATATATGCAGCATGGAAAGAGATTTTTGCCTTAATTTTATCTGACTGATTTCTTTTACAAGTATAAGCCTAGGCCTAGTTCCTATAACACGAAGGATAAGAATGTCCTCAAACCCCAACTTCTCCAAACTACTTCCCCACTCCCTCATCTCTACATTAATTTTGCCTCCTTCTCTCAGCATACCTGTGTCTTTGGGTTCTGAAATTCACTGGGAAAAAAGAAAAAACAAAAATATCAAACCAAAAACAAGAAGTCAGGGAAATTGTTCAATTAGTTGGAGATGATGTGGGTAAATGCACGTGATCACAGTGACATAAATTATATCCCAG